AATTGTTGTTGCAGAGCGTGGTGGGCGTGTGAAGCAGGCCCCCCGTCGCCTCGCCCGAGGGACCTGCCATCAAGTTTGGGGGACTCCGCGAAGAGTCCGGTGGAGATCGCGCGGGAGCGCAACCGCCCCTACCACTCGTTGAATGACCAGCGCTATTATCTCTATTAGGATGATGATGACTGGTAACCGGTAGAGTTGCTGGATCAGGTTCCTTTCCATTCTTTACAGCGTTCTTGTGGAGCGTAGTGTTATAATGTCTCTTCAGATGCCCTGAACTTGTAAACCACTTGTTGCACGCAGTGCAATTGTATGTCTTTGGACGGCGTGGCTCGTTGCTTTTCCAAGATTGATTCGCCAATGGTGGCGCTTTCGGTGTTTGCTGCACGAATCCAGCTGATATTTGATGGCTCGGTATTGGTTGCGTGCTTGTGAGTATCGATGAACCCTGATGCCCGTGCTCCACAGGCATATGTTGACCGCGCATGTATTGATCCTGATCAGCGATAGGTGGAAGATTGTTTATGGAACCCATTGACGGGTGTCCAGCATAATCATGAGTCATATTAGTTTGCCAGTTCAACATAGAACTTACCGAAAGCGACTCTATTCTTTGCGACTGCTGTTGTTGCATCACCTGTTGATGATGCATCTGCATCTGAAGTCCTTGTTGCTGCTGCTGCTGCTGCTGCTGCTGTTGCTGCTGCTGCTGCTGCTGCAATCTCATTATCTCCTCTTCGTATCCTCCTCGGTGTACCTTATGAGAATCCAAGTCAAGGATCTCAGCTTGCTCTTCAGGCTGTTCCTGCTTCATCTCGGTCTTGATCGTCTGTACTCCGTTATAATCGTAACCAGATTGTTGCGGTTGATTGGAGAGAGGCGGCGACGGGTGCATCTGGCCCTGCTGCTGAGGACTATTGCCCAGTTGCTGATACTGAGGCGCGGATGGATACGCGGTAGGCGAGTCCAAATGATTCGTTCTCATGTGCTCACCCAATTGATTCGTGTCCTCATACACGGCGCCGCACTTGTCGCATTGAAAAGGCGGGCTTTGCGGGCTGGTAGAGTTAGAAGTCGTGCGATCTGAGGGATACAATTGCTGATGTTGATACGGATGATAGCGAAAACCACCATCGCGACTGCCGTTATTCTGGCCGTCTTCCTGTGATGGCGAAAAGTGATGAGGCAAGATATAAGTCTGATCGTTCTGCATGAAGTAGCTGCTGTCGCTATACATTGGAGTTCGAAAATGATCGTATGGCGAACATATAAGTATAGTAGACTGTTGCTGTGTGTGAGATTGTTGTGATTGTTGCTGTTGTTGTGTTTGTTGCGAGGATGTTGAATCTTGAGAGGGCGACATCGATGATGCTTCACTCGTGTCCGCCGGCACGTCTCGGCTCACGTGACTATTATGATTACCAGTCTTGCTATGGTTATTATTGCTCTCTTCCTGCTGTGTCTTATTGGCCCACTGATTTAGCAAATTTTCGTGTTGATAACGTAGGTGCACCTCCAGACTCTTCTCGCTCTCGAATTTTACACCGCAATCCTTGCAATGAAGCTTCGCATTCGAACTACCGTCTACGTATTGTTGCTGTTGTTGCTGCGTCTCAACGGCACTCGTCATCTCACTCATATTGTCCTCTCCCTTCGTCTCGACCGTCAAGTCACGCACTTCAATCGTCGTTTACTCGTAATACACACGATCAAACAGTAGTTTATGCACAACACGAACAGAATGAAATTGAACGAAATATACATGAGTACCTGACATGCGCCTGTATGCGCGCGCGCAAGTAAGACAATCTTCCTTTCCCTTTCTTTCTGTCTTCGATTGTTTCACCTTGCCACCTTCTAAATTGCGTCCCGTATAGAACGCGATAGAATCACATGAAATATATGGGCACAACGATGACGGTGATAACGCGAAGCGGCACCGAGTTGAGTGTCACATGTACGGATTCAATCTCGGTAGAAGCGAAACAACACGCCTTGCGATTTGACTGACAGCTAAGCCGGCAGCGATGGGTAGGGATAGATGGGGGGAGAAGCTTTCCAAACAAAAAAAGGAGAAGGAAGTAGAAAACAAAAAAAACCGGGGGATACAGCGTGTTCTACATTTATCATATGACTGCACTGACTCTAAACGCGAATTTCCATCTCAATGTCGCTCGAAAAATCGCGATCACCGCATGTGGCATTGTCGGCCTCGGCTAGACGACGTGTCGACGACGATACCACTTGCCAACTCCCACCTTGATGCCGGGGACGCGGCTTTCGATAACGAGATTCGAATAATGCCGGTTACCTCGGCGGCCGAACGAACGAAACAAAATAAAAGCGAACGCGCGTATCGCTCATGATTTACATATCGAGTAGCACGCCGGTGGCCTTTGTATCTGCATTCTTCGATTCGGAGCAAGGTCGCTTTCGTTTGACGAGACGGTGTCACACGGTGTTCCGAAAGAAGAAATTGAATTTCCCCAAAGGAAAATGCGCTTTAAACTCCCGACGATCTTAAAAACGATTTTAAAAACTGTCACGAGATCGCGGTTCACTTTACACTTTGTTTATTACAATAATCCGCAATGTCTACTTCTCGTAGCTTACTCGAAGTCTCTCCGTTCACAACTGATCGTGGGTGTCTGAAAAATGATTATCTGACGTTACGTATTCCGGTATACAAGTATACTGCGAAAACGACAGAAGTGAAGCCGCAAACACAATGAGACGCATCCACCTCAACCTTGCCGTCACCCCTCCGTCGTTCGGTCTCCCCCACTTTCTCACTTCTCTCTTTTTCTTCCCCTTTTCCTCTCTTCTTCTCTTTCTCTCACTCTTCTCGGATTTACACTTGCTCACTACTATCGTAGAACCGTGTCGTACGAACGCCGGCACTAGTCTGTTCTGTCGTTGGAATTCTGTAGTTTCGAGACCTCGCGCCAAGGCACCATCTCCTCCCCTCATCCCTCCCTCGCTCGTGTTCCCCGCCCCACACTGCTTCCTTCGCCAATACTCGCCACCCCCTCTCGTCGTCACTTGCCGACTCTTCGAATTCTGCCTTTCTCTCTCTCTCAGACTTCCACACGTTTCCCCTCGTTCTCTATAATCGTCTCTCCTCTCGCTCTAACGTTCTCTCGAACGTCTTTCTCCTACACATCAGCGAATCATATCTTTCTCCGTCTAACGTTATAAAACTTTCTCTTTCTCTCCCGAAGGCTCCATCGTTCCATCACGCTCCCTTCATTGGAAGAACTCTCGTCCTTCTTGCTTTCTCCGTTATATTTTTCTCTCGCTCTTTCTCAGTCTCTCTCTCTCTCTCTCTCTCTCTTCCTCTCGCTTAAACTTCTCCCTCCTGTCTCGTCCAAATACTTGGCCGAAACACGAGTCTGTCTCTCTCCTGCCTTCTTCTCTTTCGCTTGCTTACTCCTGTCCCTCCTCGGTGTACCAACCCCACTACTACCTTCGACTACAGTCGATCTTCTCCGATTCTCGCTTGAAGAGGGATAGGCACGCACGACAAAACGGTGGAAAGCGACAGCCAACCAAATTTGAGAGCTCCTTACCCCTCTTTGCTTTCGTCCTCCCTCTCCGACCACCGTTCCTTCCAACGAGTGTTTGGCTGTTCTCTTCCTCTTGCTTTACTCGTTCTCCTCGCTCGCTCTCGACAAACGACGAATCCTACAGGAGATGCTGCGCGTTCTCTCTCTCTCTCTCTCTCTCTCTCTCTCTCTCTCTCTCTCTCTCCGTTTGTCCCATCTTCGTCAGACTTGAATGTGTCCTCTTTCAATTACGACGCTCGCCGTCACGTCCTTCCTCCCTCTTCTACGACGCGACGCGTCTTCGGAGAGAGAACACGACGGACGGGACGTGTGCGCATGGCACGGGAATCCTTGCTCATCTGCACGCCCGCCGCGCCGGCCGGCCGGTCTTTCGTCCTTATTCACCAACTTTATACAGCGAGATTCTTCCAGATTCTCGATATGGATCTTTCTAATCAGACACGCGCCGATTTTTTTCGAGCAACGTACTTTGCACGTATCTTACGAGCATCCAACATTTTATTTTTGTAAAATCATATTTTTTGACGTATAAATTGACATTAATGAAAATTTTCAAATATTTTTTAAATTTATTACCGAGAAGAGAGAGTCTACATAAAATTTTAATTAACCCTCGTTACTCTGCTTTGAGAATAGTACTTTCATGTATGAAGAAATCCTGCAAAGAAAAATCCTCGTAAGCACTTTATCGTGTTTAGAGATCATCGCGCAAGCCAGTCCATGACTTCGCGCTCTTTTGCCAAAAAATCCCTTCGAACGACTTGAAGATTACCTAATTCCACCGAGTGATAAGCGTAACTCTCGACAGTTTGCCTAACTTTTTATTAATCCCCGAGCCACGAACCCTTCGTTGCCTGCGTAAAAAGTGCGAGGGAATTATCCAGCGATAACGAAACTCTTTTTCGTCCTTTGCCCCTATATCTGTCCCTTCATTCTCTCTCTCTCTCCCCCCCCTCTCTCTCTCTCTCTCTCTCTCTCTCTCTCCCCCCCCTCTCTCTCTCTCTCTCTCTCTCTCTCTCTCCCTCCATCAAAGCAATTCAATTGAATAAAAAAAATGAAAGTAACCTTGCATTTTTTGTGACATCTTTTTTTCACACGCGAATATAGTTCTCCTCGGCCTGTGCACTTTGCCTACGGAATGTGACAAGGTCTTCTATTCTGATCTCTTACCCTCCGTCTCTGCCCAATCTAATTGTATCCACCACCGCGCGCGTTTAACCCTTTACTTCAACTATGAATATGTTTATTGCATTGCACGACGGCCTGATGTAAGGGGAGAGAACCTTGCTGCATGTGGGCGATGCAGAGCACGTGGTGTCAAAACGAATGAGTGTCACCTGACTGGTACCTTTAAATGATCAGTATTAAGAATCAGGTAGCGCCGAGCGATTAACCTTTTTCCTTTAAATGTATGCCATATACCTACGTTCAGCTGGGTTCGAGAATTTCGCAATGTACAAGAAGGCGGAACAACTGTCTGGTTTTCCGTTATTTTTCTGATTGTATTATATGTTACATTAATTTGTAAAGAAATAATTAATTTGGAATATATTTTAATTGCATCCACAGTTATACGTATCGCATTTTATATAATTATATGTTTTATTTATTTTATTGATATTTATTAATAATTTTAAAAAAGAGATTTATAATATTCTATAATTAAAATATTACAGAAAGTTCTTAATATTTTTGTCATGCTTGTTAAAAATCTTCGTTAAAAGAAACAATTGATATTAAATAAATAAAAAGTCTCACAATCAAGACAAAAGCACGAGAGAATTCAAAGTAAATATTACTTTCTTTAATTGTTTCGTAAGTTCTAATTAAGAGATCCTTGTTTTTCGAATCATCGCTCGCAATTTTTCTTTTTTCTTTTGATTTTACTATTTTTATCCACTAACACGTTAAGATACGTCGAAAAGGTCGTCAGCCAGCCGGAGGGTGACGGTAAATTGAATCAACCTAAGCAGCAGCCACCCTCCACGAATTTCGCTTTGGCAGTTCCTCGCCTGCGCCACCCCTCAGCCTCCACTCGGCATTTTCGATGTGGACGCTGAGCTGACCGAACCACTATCAGCTAGATATTCGCTGGCGTGGCGTTTGCGCCCCATTTTATTAAGGAAGTCTCACCCTGGCCCCCGAACCTCTGCAGTCCGTGTCACGAAGTCCTACAGCGCGGGACTTCTCGTAACACGTGCGACAACGTACACCTCCGTCCTTCCACACGTAGACTCTTTTTTTCCTTCTCTATTTTTCTTATTGTCGTATAATGAAATTGTTTTCTCTCTTTTGAGTATTTTTCTTACATATATGAAAAACAGTGGCTTTGCTCGTAAATCAACAAACACGTGATGAAGAAGAAATAACAGAACAGTTTTATTTAAATGAAAAAATCGAGAATTTGAGATGCTTCAACGATCGTAGAGTAATTCATTTCTAATTTATTTTATAAAATTTCAAGCTTTTTTATTAAGATATTTATTCTAGATACAAAATTGAAAGTTTACGGTAATAATATTGAATTGAAGAAGAGCCTGCAGATAGTCTCTAAAGTTATAATTTCTAAATTACTAATTAGAATTTATATTACACCATAGTTTTGTCTAATTCTTTTATATTTGTTGCAAAGAAGAACATTTATAATGGCAAACGAATTATTGGTTGATCTGTAACAGTTATCCGTTGCATTTACAATATCATTGCCTTTCAACAGAAATCTTATTACGATTTAATATGATCTTCGCTAGTTAGAAAAATAACGAAAGAATAAAAAAGAACAAAACGTCCGGTGAAAAGAATTTTCTTTACAATTTTTTTCGACGCATGACAGAAGCCTTCGTAAGCCACATTTCCGTGGCCCCAATCTCGCGAAAGAACTTGGAGGCCCGTCTGGTCGCGAACCGTCAGAGATCGTGGAGAGTAATAAAAAATATTCCGCGAGCTCGGCAAAGGGGGATGAGGGTCGACCACCGGGGTTCCATCATTAAAGGAAATTATAACAAAGTGGTTCTCCTCCGCGCGAGACGTCGGGGGCTGTCATTTGGCGGCGCGGGCCCGAGAGTCCGCGGGATGAGAAGAACGCGGGTGGCGTTGAAGAAGGACGAATAGAAAGGCTGAGTCAGTTCGCACGGAAAACGAATTGAAATTTTAATCGTCCACCCTACCCCCCACCCCTACCCCCACCGCGTTAAATGCGTCCGCCACCTTGCCGGCTC